TTTTTAAGGTATTAGGAGGCATTTGGCTCCTAATTCTCTTCATTTCAGTGTGCTTTACATTACTTGTGCGCTGCAAGGCAAAACTAGTTCTGTGCACTGCAGTGTAGCTTGTTTCCTTTCTAGTTTTGAACTATAAAAATAGCTGTATTATAAGAGCAAAGGTCTACATCTCTGTCTGTTCTTCAGGAGTAGCCAGAATAGGGCCAAAAAAAAGTAAGGTGGGGGGGAAGCAATGAAATAGACTACAGGCAGTCTTTTCCCTTTTTATACCCTGTGCAATTGTTAAAGATCTCCTGATTCAGAGGTTGCATCCAGGCCATCACTTTTAATAAGAACTTATCTGTCCTTCATCGATTTTTCAATCTGTTTAGACTTCTGCTATCCATAACACCCTTTGGCAATGAGTTTCACATGGTAACTGCTGCTTGACAGATTGCCTCCTCTTTGCCTGCTTTGAATCAGTTAACGCAAGAACCATGAAGAATAACTCCCTACTCCCCTTCCCCACCCCATTCATAACAGTGTAAAACATCTGCAATTTCTGTAATAAGTCATCTCGTCTCTACAGCAAAGAGAGAAATCATGTTGACTGACTTGAGACTCATTTTTGATGGTCTTCTCTGGACCTTCCCTAGTCCTCCACTACCTTCAAGACGTGGTAATCAGAACTGCATAGTGTTTAAGATACTGGCACACCATGAATTTACATAGCAGCATACTGATGGTTTCTGTTTGGTTTACCAGCTTGGGTAAACATCAGAGAGTTTGTTGATTCTTCAGGGAGTGCAGCATTTCCTCCCAGTTGGCCATTAGTCTCTCTGCAAGAACTTTTTGGGGACTCACTTCTGATAGTGCTCTTAAGTAGTCTGCAGAGGTGACAGGTGAAATTTTTCATCTCCCAACAACTGGTGCCACAGATCTCCCATTTTTTACCCAGTCCAAGCCAGTGAAACTCACAGCTTTCAAATCCCTGCCATTTTCTCCCCTCAAAGTCTTCCCAAAAGCATGGCAGTTCGCAGCCGCTCAAAGCTCACAGATATTTTCTTTCACCTGTACACCCAGTAAGAAGTCCCACAAACCAGAGAAGCAGAAAGTACATGGTTCTCCCCAACAAGCTGGGAGAAGCATTGTTGCATTAAAATCTATACTGAGCAACCAAGGAAACTTTCTTAAGCTTATCCCAGTGAATATCCCGGTCTTAAGAAATTTCCCAGGTGTCCCTATATAATGAGTGACTGTCCTGAAGGATCAGTCAGACTTGGCACTGTGATGCACAATTCACTACCCTGCCTCATGAGCCCCTGCTAATCCCAAGAGACGTGCTTCCCCAAATATAGCTGCTCTGTATAATTGCTTGGCTTATCTCCCCTCTCTTAGCTGAACTACCATGGTTCCAAAAGCCCTTAAAATTAATGATAGATGTGCTTGCAGATTAAAATCCATCTATCTGTGTAATGCTATGAGCATCACTTGCTCATAACAGCACTGTCAGTCACAGTGCTCAGCTGCAGTTTCTCTGCGTTTCTTAGTAGCAGCTCAAATACTGCCAAATTAGCAAATGCTGGGAGAAACATCGGAGCAGTTTGACCCCAATTTCCCAATTTCTGCGAAGCAGTTGTAACGGACCATGAGAAAGATAACACAAAACAAAGTTATGAGCTGAAACACCGCATCTCAGGGTACCTGACCAGAAAACTGAGCAGGTAATTTGAGCAAACACAGACTCCTGTGAACATGCGGTTAACAAAAGTAGCTCAAGACAGCTTAACAAAATAATAGCACAGACACATTTTACTTCCATAGTTACAAACCTCTGAATTTGAATGAGCAAAGTATAGAAATAGCAACCTTTGTACATCAACAAAACTCTACTACTACCCACAAGCATAAGATAGCATGCAAAAGCTAGGCAAATAATGTAAGCCAGTTCAGCATATTGAAATCTAAACCTTCCTTCTGGATATCTCATTTTCTGAGCATTTTGCATACAGTGCCTGCAAAAATAACTCTGGGCGTGTTAAGTGCTGGGGAGAAGAGTCCCTTTTCTTCTGTTTCCTAAGGAAACTAATGTGGGACAGAACATCACTTTTACTCAATAGGATGAGAAATTCCACCAAATCCCTTGCTGGAGCTCTGACATAAAGGCAATTCAGAAGGCCAGCCAGAGACCTGCCCACACCCATCACCATTACTTCCCAAGACTGGAATGAGAAAAAAGTTGTGTTCAAGTTTTGCACTCAGCCTCAAATGTTAGTCACCCCAATTTTCTCTTTTGAAATACACACACAATATACCTCCCCCCCCCCCCCCCTT